TTCCAAGAACCCAAGATGTCAAGAAGAAGAAACAAAGATCAGTTGAGGTCAAACCAATTCCTAATGTTTCTTCAAAAGTAAGAAACACCACCGGTTTCAGGATACATCCTTTCTTTTCTTTATTTGGATAATGATCTTCTGGACATTCAAAGCAGTCATCCATATCTGGAAGAAAAGTCAAAGAATTTGTCATCTATGCCTTGCATATTTTTGAAAATCACTTTCCGAGTTGGTGCAAATTGTTATTAATTTTGAGTTCTTTCCACTGGTTACCATGTTTTTATGAAATACAGTTTTTCCTCACTGGTAACATTCAAGATTGGTGTAAGAAAAGTACAATGGGGAAGAACAATTATTGTTTGAAACACAGTCCTTTCCAAAATTTTCCAATTTATGATAACATAGACTATTTGGACTTTTCCCATATTTCTACAAAACTGTGATGATGGATATAAGACAGAATGTAATGACAGAAGCAAAAATATTGACTCTGAGGTATATAATTCATTTAATCTCTTTTAGGTTTCCTCCTTGCTAAAGAGAGAGTAAACTAAGGAAAAATCAGTCTTTTTATTTGGAAAAACTAGGTGGAATCCACTAAGTCAAAAGTAATCACCTAATTTTATTGTCAGAATAAGAAAGTATATTAGTCTGATCCCTGTATTTAAATATTGACCTTTTTGATGCTTCTGTGTTCTATGTGGAGAACATAAACACCTACTTTATGTCCCTTTGATGATAAAACATCTGATCCATTCACAAATCTTCCTTTGTTTGCTGAACCTTCTTTACTTTGTCTTACTTTCAGGTGTTCATGGAAGATAAGGCCGGGAAAATGGCAGATGAAATGGAAAAAAACATGTGCATTCATTTACAATTAAACTGACCTGAGACAATTGATTTTTTTCTTGATCTTGACACTATCATTTGTAAGTACTGTCATTGTTGATTTAAACTTTAACTAGAAGTTTAATTTGATTCTCCTGATTTCTATGCTGTCTTTAAAAGAGATTAGTGGTTCTCAAATCTTGATTTAATTTGGGGAAGAAGAAGAAGAAGAAGAAGAAGAAGAAGAAGAAGAAGAAGAAGAAGAAGA